GGAATCCAGAGTGCTAGCTTTCTTTGTCTAAAACATCTTTTTTCTAAAACATCTTTCTCCTTGAATTTTTAGCTGGCGAATTTCTCCTTGTCCTTTAAGAATCAGCTCATATACTACTTCCTCTAGGATACCTTCTGTCCTATCTGCTCTGGGTCAGGTACTAGCTCTATATATTTTAGAAGTACCATTGAAGACAAGGGGTATTTTCTGTCCTACCAAGATTTGAAATTGAGCATGTGTTTGATTAATTGGGGCTCAATTTTTTGATGAATTAGTAAGTTGAACTTTCTGAGGAGTATTCAATTTATTGCTTAACTATTGAGTGTTCAATGCTAAGCCATACCTTATGACAAAAAATATGAATTTGGTTCTTATCATAAATAACTTATACAGTGTAGTAGAAGAAATACAACTGATAAGCCAAAATAATTAAAACATTCATCCACATAAATTCTACCTACTACCTACATATTTCTCAACCTTTTCTAGCTGGCTTTGTGCCAGGCTATCTTGAATAAATAACACAAGTTTTGCTCATGTTGCTGTGTTTCTTCCCACCTCAGTACCTTCATATATGTTGTTCCTTCTACACATATCACTCTTATCATACCAGTCCTTTAGAATTCAGCTTCAATATCACTCTATTGTGAAACCATGTCAGTAGTTATTGTTAGCAAGGGAGTTTCATGGTAGTTATATTGATGAGTAGAAAACTCTTGCAGTATAGGAGAGTGAGTCCATAGGTCTGTACAGGACAGATTAAAACAAATTCACCTGTTTAATGGTCAAGGAAGACTTCAGTTAGAAACAGTAATAGTCTGTCATACTGGGGTCACTCAAAGTTCATGGCAAGTTACCCACTTAAGCTGGTTAGAACTAGTTTTGATACAATCTAAGAAATGTTGCTATAAGTGGAAGATTTTCCTTGTACAGCTTGAATGGATGACTGGAATTTGTCACAAGTAGGGTAGGCAAGCATATGTTCTTCTACTCAAATCAGATTAATACTGTGATTTTCTTTTTAAAAAATCTCAAAACACGTATTCATTGAAGGAAACTTTAATTAGTTGACTTTTGCTACATAACAACATATCTCCAAATGTAGTGGCTGAAACCAGTAACATTTATTTGCTCATAATTTTGTAACTTTGGACTGAATTCATGATTCTTTTCTGCTTCATATGGTATCACTTTAGACTCACTTGTAGTAATGATAGTTAAGGATCTTAATTGCTTTTCTAGTGGCTGGCTGATTCTTTGCATGAGCACTGGATGTAACTGAATCATCCAACAGTCTAGCCTAGGCTCATTTCCAAGTATAGGAGAAGTCCCAAGTTCAATGAAAGAAGGCAAGCCCCAATGATCACTTACCACTTTTCAGCTTTCTTTGCATACTGCTATCTTTCTTTTCTTTTCTTTTCTTTCTTTTCTTTTTTGTGACAATCCTAGGGATTGAACTCAGAGCCTGGGTGCTTGCATCCTACCACTTGACCCACAGCTCTACTTCCAGCTTTTTGGTGGTTAATTGGAGGTCAGAGTCTCAGGGATTTACCTTCCAGGACTGGCTTCAAACTATGATTCTTAGATTTCAGCCTCCTGAGTAGATTATTAGGGTTATAGGTGTGAACCACCGGTGTCTGGCTAACATTCTGTTTTCTAATAGCTCCTTTGAAGTCACATGACCACTGACATATATTAGGGATATGCAAAAATCAACTACCTCTTTATGGGAGGAGCTGAAAAGTTACATTGCTTATAAAATTCATGCTTATGCATGTATGCAGACAGGAATATGAAGAATCTGTGACCATTTCTGTTACTGTCCATGCTGTTAATTTTCCTCTCTTCCATTCCCCTTAAATGGACTTTACATTTAGAGTCTGCCTGTAGGGGTTTTGTTTGTTTGTTTGTTTGTTTGTTTTTGTCAGTCATGGGGCCTCTGGGCCTGGGTGTTGCTGTCCTTCAGCTCTTCAGCTCAAGGTGAGCACTCTACCACTTGAGCCACAGCACCACTTCCAGATTTTTCTGCTTAGGTAGTGCTGAGAAATTGAACCCAGGGCCTCATGCATGCAAGGCAAACACTCTATCACTGAGCCACCTTCCTAGCCTCTGCCTGAAGGTTATATCTACTTTATACTGCCCAAAAGTCAGAGTACTGGATGCTGTAGAATTCTGTTGGTTGATATAAATATCATCATGAAATAATACAGGCTACTGAAGCGAAATGTTCTTAATTCCCTGAATGAGTGACATGATCAATTTAAAATCCATTTGGATTATATTTGCATGTATTATGGTTCTGAAACACAAAGCTAGATTTTGTTTCTAAATATGCGCATCAGGAAGAAATGATGCCTAAGCTGAGGTCTAAGGCACTTGGAAGATCTAGTTAGGCAAAGAGAGAGAGGAGAAGAAAACATTCCAAGCAGATGAAAATGTGACAGAAAAACAATTTTGTGAATCTATTTTTATAGATGAGAATGATTTTCTATAAGAATCTGAAGGCAATCACCCTCCAGATTATCCGTACCATACCATTTACTTATCTGTTCTGCCATTGGACTCTAAGCTTTATTATGGCAGGACACATAGTAAATGCCCAATAATTGTGTGAGTGGATGACTGACTTAGTGAATGTATAATAAGGAAAGCATGGTATAGAATAGGACACTATGTAAGAATGAAGATGGAAATTGGAGAGAATGCTGTGTAGATAGAGGAAAAGAACAAGAGCTGCAGAGGAGAAGCAATGGTAGGGGAAGAGCAGAATGAGAGACAGGCAGAAGGGACTGGGAGGTCTGGCTGCTTAGCAGGTGCATTGGAAGAACTTAGCACTTCCTTTAAAGTACTAATTAATCTTTCAGCAGTTCAGGCACAGGCTCTTCTACACTGTTAAACTGCCTGCCTGCTTTTATTTTCAAATATCAAGGCTTATTTTTGAAAGTGTATTTTTGTAGAGAATTCTGAAGGCCTTATATGGGCATAAAAATAATGACTTAAGTTTAGTCATTTCCTCTGGATTATTAGAGGTACCTGACTTACTAGTTCTTACTGAAGAATCCATTTGCATTTCAAAATCTATCAGATTGTCTTAGTCTTCCTTCTTTGAAAGATGAAGATATTCCTCAAATAGTGTTGGACAAAAAAAAATTGTACATGAAACTAACAGGTGTTATGGTTGTGATTTTTCTGAGTCATGCAACTTTTATTTCAATCAAAGCCAGTTTGGCTTTTTTTATTTTTTTGTCGGTCGTGAGGCTTGAACTCTGGGCCTGGGCACTGTCCCTCAGCTCTTCAGCTCAAGACTATTGCTCTACCACTTAAGCCACAGTGCCACTTGTGGTTTTCTGGTGGTTGATTGGAGATAAGAGTCTCACGGACTTTCCTGCCAAGGCTGGCTTTGAATCATGATCCTTAGACCCCCAGCTTCTTGAGTAGCTAGGATTACAGGTATGAATAGAAGAAGAACAATTACAATCACAGTTTTTTACTACTTTACAACCTGGGTTCATGCATCTCTGGCTGAATACAAGGGCAAATATTATGCTTAGGACTTCAGCAAGGCCCTCCAAAGCTTTTGACTCTGGTTAACTAGTAACAATAGGCCAAGATATATTTCTAGGCAAATTTCTCTACAGTTTAGCCCAAGGCATTAGAATTTCCTGAGATGCTTGTTATAAACGCATCTTCTAGGCTTTTACCCTAGTCCTGGGACCAGTATTCCTCCAGATGATTTTCATGATCTTAAGGTGTGTGACCAGCTTTACCTTTTAGAGTAAGTAGGGCAGCTTCTTAGGCTATTCTTATTACTTTTTAAAATTATAAAATGTCAAGTTATAATTGTACATATTTATAGGGTATGATGTAATGTTATGATTTATAATTAAATGAAGCTAGTATATCCATTATTTCAAATAGTTATCATTTTATGGTAGAAATATTAGAAATGTATACTTGTTAGCAATTTTGAAATATGCAATTATTAGCTATATTTTTATGTAATAGGGTTTTTTTCGGGGGGGAGAGCAGTATGAAGACCTTGAGCTTGCTTGGCTTGCTTACTCGTGGCTGGCACTCTACACCTTGAGCCATACCTCTAGTCTGACGCTTTTGCTGGTTAATCGGAAATAGAGTCTCATGGACTGTTCTGCCCCGGCTGGCTTCAAACCACAATCCTCCAGATCTCAGTCTCTTGAGTAGCTAGTACTAAGCCTAAGTAGCTAGGCATGAGCTACCAGCACCCTGACAAACTTGACTTATCCTTTGACCATCATCTCCTCATTCTTCCAACCCCGAGCTTCTGTAACCACTATTCTACTCTGCTTCTATGAGTTTGGTTGTTTTATATTTCACATAAGGTGAGAATATGTGCTGGATGTAGTTGCTCATGCCTGTAATCCTAGCTACTAAGGAGGCTGAGTTCTGAGGAACATGGTTTGAAACATGTCAAGGCAAGAGTGTCCCTAAAATTCTTATCTCCAATTAACCACCAAAAAGAGACAGAAATGGAGCTGTGACTCGGTCCTGTGTTCAAACCCCAGAACTGGCACCAAACAAAAAAAGAAAAAGAAATATTTGATAGAGACAACCAAGAGTTGTTAGCCCAGGATCCTAGCTGATTGAGAAGCTGAGAACAGGGGGATCAGACCAGACCAGACCAGACCTGGTAGAGAAGTCCTCAAGACTCCATGGAAGGAAGCTGTCATCCCAGCATTTATGGGAATCCTAAAATAAGGTGCATTTCAGCTCAAGTGTATGCCTGAGTAGGAGTGACCTTATCCTAAAAATATCCAGAGAAAAATAAGTCTAGAGTTTTGGCTCAGTCATTTCATGCTAGCCTAGCAAGCTGGAGGCCTTGAGTTCAAACCCCAGAGGCTAAATCAATCAATCAATAAGATCATTGGGACCAGGTACAAAGTTTAATGAAACTCTAAACATTTATATTTTGCCAGAATCAAACCCAAGAGTCTTAATATGTTCTCTATCCCTATATCCTTCAGAGTATCCAGAATGAGGGAGAATGCTAAAAAGAATAGAGAACAAAGAGAACAAGTACATGCAGTGAAAGCCAAGGTGGTCAACATGCGGAAACAGGCTTTGGAGGAACAGTTCAAAGAATGGATTCTAGACCCCAAAGGAAATATTCCTATGACAGTGGTAAGGAAGCGGGACACTGGAGAGTAGTGGGGTGGATGATAAGAGGGTATTTGCTAAAATATGAAGTGCCTCCCTTGGAGGATCCAGCTCTGTTGGGGTAAGTCAGCTCATGTCCTGTGTGGCCCAAGAGAGTTGACTACTTCAATTTTCTCTTGAACACAACAAAAAATATTTAATTTTTAAATTTCAAAAACCCATTTCTGACCAAACTAATCATTACAAATAGAGACCGATTTCATTTATTTGTTTGGGGTGGTGTGTGTGTGTGTGTGTGTGTGTGTGTGTGTGTGTGTGTGTGTGTGTGTGTGTGTGTGTGTGTGTGTGTGTGTGTGTGTGTGTGTGTGTGTGTGTGTGTGTGTTTCTGAAAGATCTTATGCAAAAAGACTGGGGAATTAGTGAGGACATATATGTAAAATCAATTTATACCTTGAAGTATTCTCTACACTGAACAGAAACTCTTACTATGTCTGCCCTCCAGTTAGAAAGACTACCAATACTTTAATAGAAATACTGTAGATGCTTCTTATCTAAAATACTAAATATATAGTAATTGAAGAATGATACATGGCTTCTTTTTCTTTCCTCCCCCTTCTTTCCTTTCTCTTCCACTCTCTCTCCTTCCCCATCCCTCTCTTCCTCTCCTTTCCTGCCTTCCTTCCTCCTATTTCTTTCCTTTTTTGTCCATTCCTTCTTTCCTCTTTTGATTTGCAGATACAGAATGCTCTTAATGATTTTTTTCAGAAGGGCGAGTCTGACCTTGGTAAGTATGCCTATTACCACAGTATTTTTCTTTTTTGTGGTTCAGGCACTGAATTCATATGAGGAATCAATATTGAGGTCTATATTATGGAAAGCTCTTACAAGTGAAACTAGGTTCTTGTGTTCTTTTCATACAGAGAATGTAGAAAAGTAGAGAAGTGATCAGTCATTCTCAATGCTTTTAGTCCAGGGCCCCCATTGTATTATATATTCTATAATACCTTTTTATTATCCTGTGACACCCCTAGAAGATACTAGAATTTTAAAAGCAAGCTATAATGTCTTAACTGTGATATGAAGGAGAAACACAAAGGCATTGAAATTATATATACTATACATCAATATAGGAGGAGGTAATAAAATGTAATAGAAGAGGTGAATTTAATCAAAGTACATCAGATATATGTATGGAAATACTATAATATATGCTATTAAAAAGAAACTAAATATTTGGTTACGTCTCTACTATAAGATATGAGAAATTAGACATTTCTACATAATTATCATAAACATTTAGTTATAAGAAAAGCAAAACATGTCTAGTCAATCTTTTTATTGTATTTGCCATTTTGAAATAAGTGAATTAATATTTATGCATGTTGATATGTATTATGTATTATATATGTATGTATATGTATACCTACATAATCCCCAGGACTTGGAAAGCTACAAATAGACACTTACATGGGTGCATTGCATTAGAGTTTGAATGTTACCTCTTATAACACAATTATCTGTTTTTGTGAAAGCCTCCCGCTTAAGTTCCAGGGTGAATTTTTGTATTCACTTTTCCCTCAAATTGTCATAGTAGTTACATTTTGGAAAATTCAACAGCAAAATTTGGGGATGGGTAAGCAACTCAGTGATAGTATTATCTGCAAGGACCTGGGTTCAATCTCCAGTACAAAGAAAAGAAAACAAAAGAAAAGAAAAGAGAAAAGAACAGCAAAAGCATAATCTGTATTTATATATAAAATAGAGTTCTTTTTTTTTTTCTTGGTTGTTGGGCCTGAACTCTGGGCCTGGGTGCTGTCCCTCAGCTCTTTAGCTCAAGGCTAGCGCTCTACCACTTGAGCCACAGCACTACTTCTGGCTTTTTCTGCTTATGTGGTACTGAGGAATCAAACCTAGTGCCTCATGCATGCAAGGCAAGCACTCTACCACTAAGTCACCTTCCCAGCCTCTAGAGTTAAGTTCTTTTTTGGGGGGGGAGGGGGTCCGGTTGTGGGGCCTGAACTTCTGGGCCTGGGTGCTGTCCCTCAGCTCTTCAGCTCAAGGCTAGCGCTCTACCACTTGAGCTACAGTGCCACTTCCAGCTTTTTTTCTTTTTGCTTATATGGTGCTGAGGAATCGAACCCAGGGCCTCAGGCATTCAAGGCAAGCACTCTCCCACCTTCCCAGCCCTCTAGAGTTAAGTTCTAAATGCAGAATTATTCTTTTCTTTTCTCTGTGTGTATGCTGGATCTAGGACTTAAACTCAGGGCCTGAGTGCTGTCCCTGAGGTTTTGTATTCAAAACAAGTACTCTATCACTTGAGCTCCAGTTCCACTTATGGTTTTTGGATGGTTAGTTAACCTTCAAAAGAGTCTCTCAGACTTGCCTGCCAGGCTGGATTTGAACTGTGATCCTCAGATCTCAGCCTTCTGAGTAGCTAGTATTACAAATGTGAGCCAGCATAAGTAGAAAATTATTATAATCAGATTTTTTACCTACTCAAGTGTCTGACAGAAGAGAATAATCTTCATTGTGCAAAAATTGCAGGAGTGTTGCTGCCATGCCTACTCATCACTGTAGTAACAAAAACCCTCCTACAGATTTCCATCATGCTCACTGGGGTAGGGGTGGAAAAGAGGTCAGTAACATCCATATGGAGAACCGTAGATTGTGATGCACTTTTTTCAGAAAGATTTCCCTAGATAAGATTTGTGTTGGGGGGGGTGTGTGTGTGGGGGGGGAAGGAAATATGATTCTATCCACAAAGATCTAGAGTTTGGATCTTGAGATTTCCATAATTTATAGCCAATTTTTTCAATTGATTTCTTGACCGTATGTGTTACATTGATAACAAAAGATTGTGAGAATATTTGAAGTCTGATTCTTTAAAGTAAAACATGCAAGCTGGGCACAAATGACACATAACTGGAGCCCTAACTACTCAGGAGTTTGAGATCTGGGGACCAAGCTTCAAAGCCAATTCTGACAGACAAATCTGTGAATCTCTTATTTTCAATTACCTAGCAAAAAAACCAGAAGTAGAGGTGTGGCTGAAGTGGTAGAGCACCAGCTTTGACTGAAAAAGCCAAGCTGAAAATGTGACTTAGTGGTAGAGTGCTTGCCTAGCATGCATGAAACCCTGGATTTGAATCCTCAGCACCACATTATCAGAAAAAGCCAGAAGTGGCACTCTGGCTCAAGTGGTAGAGTGCTAGCCTTGAGCTGAAGGGCTCAGAGACAGCGCCCAGGCCCAGAGTTCAAGCCCCATGACCTACACTCAAAAAGAAAAAGAGGAGGAGGGGGGGGGGGAGTGAGGGGGGAAGGAGGAAGAGAAAAAGGAGGAGGAGGAGGAGGAGGAGGAGGAGGTGGAGGCAGAGGCGGCAGTAGCAGCTCAGGGACAGTGCCTAGGCACTAAGTTCAAGCAAAAACAAAACAAAAACTGTCCAGGCATCTTAATCTCTACTTTTATTTCAGAAAATAACTTCACTTCTTCATTTATTTTTGATTTGGGACACTCTGTTGGGTTTCTGATGAAAATTAGAGAAATTCCAGACCATTCCAAATGGTCTGGTATTGTTTCTTCTTTCTCTTCTTATACTATAGTAATTACATTCTGTACCACTCATTTGTGTTTGTCTTTTGCTAAGATCAGTAAAAATTACATGATTGTCATATTAAATGGAATCTTAAAGATCTCTATTTGAACTTGGATGTCACCATTATTAATCACTTTTATTCATAAAAATCTTTTGCTTGGCTTTTGTGATACCATTTTCTCTCTCTTATTTTTATTTTTTTATTGTGAAAATACTGTATAGAGGGGTTACAATTACATGAGCAAGGTAATGAGTACATTTCTTATCAAGCATTGTTGCCTCCTCCTTTGATTCCCCCTTACTATCCCTTCCCATCTCCCCTACCTCTTATTTTTATTTTTTATCTTTGCTCATCTCTTAGCATTTTTATTTCTTAGTTTTTCTTTTGCTTACATCTTAAATATTGTTTTTCTGGGTTTTGGCTCTCATATCATTTGACACTGAATTCACACTTCCTAACTTTTCTTCTTCAAATCCATACTGTAGGTGGTCTTGTCATTCCCAAACTTCCCTCTGAGTTCCAGATTCTATTTGTAACGGGAAAAAAATGAGGGAAGAAAACAAGCTGCAGATCAAAATGATGATCATCTTTGTATCTGGAGAAACTAAAGATCTGGGGGGGTCTGTAGACAAACACCTGGAAATGCATAGAAAGATTCATTTTTAAAATAAAAGACATAAGCTGGGTGCTGGTGACTCACAGCTGTCATCCTTGCTAGTTAGGAGGCTGAGATCTGGGGATAACAGCTTGCAAGCAGCCCCGGGAAGGAAAGTCTGTGAGACTTATCTCCAATTAAGCACCAATAAAACCAGAAGTGGATTTTTGGCTCAGGCAGTAGAACACTAATCTTGAGCAAATGAAGCTCAAAGATAGCACCCAGACCCTAAGTTCAAGCTCCAGCCGGAGCACAAAAGAAGATATTGACATATGATTAGTTAATTTTTTGGCAGTCCAGCTCATTTGGCTGGCTCTACCACTTGAGCTATGTCTTTTTGCTACTTATTTGGAGATGGAATCTCAAGGAGTTTTTTTCCCCCCCAGGTTGGTTTTCAATTGTGATCCTTAGTAGAAGGTTCCTTTTAAATAGGATTATAAGTGCCTGGCTTATATTACTAATTTTTAAAATTACTGAAGACCAAAGAAAGTTTTTAAAATGTATGTTTGAGAGGGGTTTTGATTTAGGATCTGCTTGCATAAATACTACAATAAAACCTATGCAGATGTTTATCTTAATATTTCATACTATTGTGTTTGTTTCTTCTTTATCCCAACCTAGATATTAAAATTTTAGGTTCATTTTTTAGTATTTTGAATTTCTTGGTTAAATAAAAGCTAGAAAAAATCCTTTCCAGTTATTGGAATATTACCCAACTATATTTCACTTACTATAAGATGATAGACATTAGTTAAGGAGTAATTTTGTGTTTAAGTACTATACTACAAATACGAAATATGAATGCATTACAACCAAACTAACTAGCAAATAACTTTTGTTCCAAAATTAGAATCACAATGCAAAGAACTGACTATTAGCAACTCAATGGAACAAGGATTGAACAAGTTGGAATTTATAGAAGTAAGAAATTACATTATTTAATATTATAATCAAATTATTTTGCTAATTTCATCTCTCTTCTGGTGGATGTCCCACATATATCAACTTAGAATTAAAGTAAATGAAAGCATAAAATGTATTTTATCAGTTCTAAGATACACACTTAAAATTTAACCCTTCTGCAATTAGGTTTCATGTTATAACCAAAGGCATAAGTTTTTTCTTAGTAACACTCATAATATGAAAATGTGAAAATCTTCCACTGACACCTTCTGGTAAGATGAAGAAAAAGCAACATTTTATAGTCAATGAAATCTGTTTGTACAAATAATAGTGAGATGTAAAATTACTAAGTATTTCCTATGGGTGAGGCACTGTTCTAAGCTATCCCTATATGAACTTTAGCAGTCCTCTCAGCAATCTTTATCCTTTACTTTTCTTTCTTAAACTTCCTCTGTGTGTGTGTGTGTGTGTGTGTGTGTGTGTGTGTGTGTGTGTGTGTGTGTGTGTGTGTGTGGTAATGGGGTTTGAATTGCATGAGTCCTCTACCTCCAGCCCTTTTTACTTTTAAGTTATTTTTCAGTTAGAGACTCACATTTTCCCCCCCGAAACTACCCTTGAACAGAAATCTCCCAATCTCTGATTCCTAAGAAACTGGAATTATTGGTGTGAGCTATTACACTTGGCTAATGCTTTTCTTTAAACTTTGGGGCGTTCTGCTTGCTATGCAAGCTCTGCCACTTGAGCTATGTCTCCAGCCCTTTTTACTTTAGGTCTCCACAATTCTGCTCAGGGAAGACCTAGGTAGGGAGTCCTTCTACCTATAGCCTTCCTGAATAGCTGGGATGATAGGAACATACCACCAGCGTTTTGGTTTAACTGAGTTCTTGACCAGGCTAGCCTTGAACTATAATCCCAATCTCAGCCTTACAAGTAGTACAATCTTCCTCTGAGGTTCAGAAAGGCTGAACATCCTGCTCAGGGTCTCATAATTAGGAGAACTAGAGAATTTATATCAGGTAGTTTTGTTCTAAACTTTACATAATATTACATCTCAGACAGCATGAATCTACTATAATGGAATATGTAAGTGAAAGCAGCAATTTATTATTTATTTTTTTATTTTGCCAATCCTAGGGCTTGAACTCAGGGCCTGGGCTCTGTCTCTGAGCCTCTCTGTGCTCAAGGCTAGGGCTCTAGCACTTGAGTCATGGTGCTACTTCCAGCTTTTTCTATTTATGTGGTACTGAGGAAATGAATCCAGGGCTTCATGCATGCTAGGCAAGCACTCTGCCACTAAGTCACATTCCCAGACCCAAAGCAGCAACTTAATGATACCAGAATTCTAATTCTTCTGTTTCCTGGCTTTGTATTTTTTATGTTTCTTCCTATTTCCTCAGGTTTTTCTCTAATGAGTCATGGAGTCAAGACAACCTTCTCTTTCTCCTCTCACATTTTTGCTCTGCTGAAGGTGAAGACTGTGTGCTATATACACGACTTTCCAAGTTCTATGTGAAGAATTTCTGGAACCCTTTATTGGAATGATTTTGGTATAGATAAGAATTTGGCAAAGTCTACCTCAGTTATGTTCTAACATGTTTTCTTAGATTCTGCCTTTATCTGTTTCACATCCATTAGTCACAGGGTCAAACTTGTTTATTCCTTCCCTGTGTCCTAGAACCATTTCATGATCCACCTCCTTGCTGATTCTCACACAGCTAGCCAAAGTTTCTTCTGACTTATATAAACCCAGGGCCTCGGACTAAACATCCAGGAATAGCTGCTGGGCCTCTAAAGTCTGCCAGAATGATTCAAGCTAGCCATTCCTAAGTTCCATTTACCCTACTTTGCTTTGACTTTCCCTTCATTCCTTCCTCCTAACCCAAACCTGATGCTTTCTTCCCCTTTGGCTCTGAATGACACGGTATGCTCCTTTCTCTTAGAAACGATGAGTAATTCTATCTTTGATAGAATTAGCCTCTCCATGTCATCATTCAGTCACCTCCATCAATTAAAATCCCACAAATAAAACAAGATAAACTACACAAAGAAAAACATGCAGAGGAACAAATATGGCAGTTCAGCAAAAGTCAAGGCTTTGTCACTTTAATATGGTTGTAGACATAACTTACATTTCTTTGTCAAACACTGATTCTTGGTCATCTTGGGGCTATATGTCTTATACTAATTTTCGACAGAGGTCAATGTAGAAATTTTTCCTTTTTTTTTTTTTCTTTTCTTTTGGTGGTACCAGGTTTTGAACTCAGAGACTCTGTCTTGCCAAGCAGGCAATTTTACTGCTGAGCTATGCTTCCATCTGTGAATTTTTCTCATTACTTCTTAATTTTTTTTTGTCAGTCATGGGGCTTGAACTCCGGGACTGGGTGCTGTCCCTCAGCTCTTCAGCTCAAAGCTAGTGCCCTACCACTTGAGCCACAGTGTCACTTCTGGTTTCCTGGTGGTTTATTGGAGATAAGAGTCTCACAGGCTTTCCTGCCCAGGCTGGCTATGAACCATGATCCTCAGATCTCAGTAGCTAGGATTACAGGAATGAGCAACTGGCGCCCGGCTTTTTGCTCATTACTTTTGAGATAAGGTTGCCTTTCCTGCCTTTGCCTATGTCTGGGTTTGAGCTACCTATGTTAGGCTTCCTGGTAACTAGGATAACAGATACATGCTAGGGGGTCCAGCTCTTTGTTGAAAAGAAGTCTCATTTTTTTTTTTCCTGCCTAGGCTGGCCTTAAACCTCAGTCCCAACATTCTTTGCCTCCCAGGTAGCTAGAATGAGCCACTAACACCCAGCTCTTTGTTTACTTATAAAAGAAATACATGAATTTTACAATAGTGGATTATATCTCAATAAGAAAATAATATAGGCTCTCTACAGAAAATTAAAGATACAAAATATAAAGAAGAAAAAATTTTAGTCCATAATTCTACCACCAATTTATAATATTGTTATACTTTTCTTCATGTAATGAGGATAGCTCACATTTTAAACCACTTTTTCATGTTCCATAAACTGTATTGAGAATGTTGCATGTGTTTTCTTGTTTACTCCTCACTACAATTCAGTTATTATTATCCTCATCTTGCAAATGAGACCTAGGAAGATGGAAGAATTTCCTCAAGGTTATGAAACTATAAAGTTACAGATCTGCCTTGGAACCCAGATTAGCCTAGTGGCTGTTTTCCTTTCATTCTGTGGCATAAATAGCTTTGAGTTCTAATGTTATAGTGAACGTGTGTTTCTACTAAATTGTCTTGTAGCTTAAAGCAACTACAAGAAACTTTGTTTTCTTTGAATTGTCTTCTAGATTGACTTGATTTTATTTTCTTCTTATTTTTTGCAGGTACTAGGCCTTGAACTAGGGGCCTTGCACATGCTAGACTGGTCCTCTACCATTTGAGCCCATCTCCAGAGCTAAAATGCAGGTCTGAGCCACCAGTGCTGGACTTTATCATTTGCTCTTTATTTTCCTTCCTGCATATGTTATGGACAGTGGTCATAATCCTATGTTATTTCTTTTCTTATTCTTTGTGTTTGGATAGTTCTGCCCTAATTTCTATTTATTCAAATGTAGTTTGGATGTTCTCTTGACTTCGTTCCTAAGCCATCTGAGACCATCCTGTTTTCACTTTGAACATGCAGTTTAAAGGCTTTACATTTCCTTTTCTAATCATTCTTCTGACTCCTGATGCTAGAATAAGAGCAGAGGAATTGGAAAGTGTCCCTGGAACAAATAGTCTGAAGTTTGTACTTTCTTCTATTCCATACACTTACTTTGTCATTTATGCAATAAGTATTTGATTAGCTGTTGTTTTATGATGAAGATTAAGTTTCCCTCTGTGTTTGTCCATTTTTAAGCCAAAAATTGATTTCTAATATTTTCAAATGCCTTGTTTTATCTCTAAGATAATAATGATTATATAACAGGCTATATGAAAAATTCCTAATATTAAGCCATCCCTATTTTTCTAGAATAATCCTGACTCATGGCAAGAAATTCTAAATAGAGAAATTCTAAAATCAATCTTTTTTATTTTCAATAGTAAGTCTGAACTTAGACAGTCAAGTATCACTTGGGCCATATCCACAGCAACTTTTTTTTGGTGGTAGTAGGGCTTGAACTTGGGGTTTGGGCAATGTCATTGAGCTCTTTTGCTCAGGGCTGGCATTCTACCACTTTGAGCCATAGTTCCACTTCTGGTTTTCTAGTGGTTAGTTGAAGAAAAAAGTCTCACAGACTTTCCTGCCTAGGCTGGTTTTGAACCTTGATCCTCAGAGCTCAGCCTCCTAAATAGCTAGGATTAAAGGCATGAGCTACCAGCACCCAGATGTTTTTGCTATTGTTTTTTGTTGGTCGTGGGGCTTGGACTCTGGGCCTGGGCACTGTCCCTCAGCTCTTTAAATCAAGGCTAATGCTCTACCACTTGAGCCATAGCACCCTTCTGGCTTTTTCTGTTTATGTGGTGCTGAGGAATTGAACCTAGAGCCTCATGCATGCAAGGCAAGCACTCCACCACTGAGCCACCTTCCCAGCCTGTTTTTGCTATTTTTTTGAAGTGTCTACCTTTTGCCTAAGCTGACCTCAAGACACAATTCTTATCTCTGCCTCCCAAGTAGCTAGAGATTATAGGTGTGAGCCATTGTGTCTGTTTTAAAATCAGTCTTTAATTCCTTGTTTTCACTTTTGCTCTTCTATGGTTTAGCTACTTTATTTAGCTTATCTACTACTCCTGTCATATTATTATTATTATTACAATCATTATTATTATTATTATTATTCGCAGTATTCAGGTTTGAACTCAAGGCCTTGAACTTGCTAGCAAAGCATTCTACCTCTTGAGCCACTCCCACACCCCTTTTTGCTTATAGTTATATTTCAAATAGTGTTTCTTGCTTTTTGTCCAGGGATGACCTCAAAGCATAATTGTCCTACCTGAGCCTCCTATAACTAGGATGACAGGTGTGAACCACTATACTCAGCCTACTGGTTAAGAGAAGATCTCAATGACTA